ATGACAGCATTAAAATCTTGTGCACATTGGTTATGTAATGATTGTTGGAAACAATATCTTGAAAGTTCAATTAAAAGTATTAAAATAGTTCTTTGTCCAGAATGGAATTGTTGTTCCATAGTTGATGTTGGTAAGATTAACTATATTTATAAAATAGAAAATTTAATGATATTTCTATTGATAGGTACACTTCTTTCATTGGTTAATGTACGTTGTATGAATATCTATGAACGAAATATAGAAAAAAGTCTTGTGAATTTATCTCGTTCTTATGTAAAATGTCCATCAAAATCATGTTCAAATATTGTTCAAGTAATTGGTTCTGGTATTGATCATGTTCAATGTCGTTGTAGTCATGAATTTTGTATTCATTGTAAACAAGAACCTCATTTTCCAGCAACATGTAGTGCATATCGTTTATATATGGACGAAGTTTATCGAAATGGAGATTTTATATCAGATTATAATGCAATAACACAAATTAAAGGACGTAATTGTATATCATGTAATAATTTTATTGAAAAAAATGGTTCGTTTGTTTTTTTGTTTTTTTTATTATATTGCACGTCATTTTCTTTCTATAGGTGGTTGTAATCATATGACATGTCGATGTGGTGCTGAGTTTTGTTGGACTTGTACGGCTTATTGGAAGGATCATAATGCAGCGGATGGAACATTTCGTTGTCCAAAAGAAGCTGTATCGTTACAAGAAGAAACTTTAGCTAAGCAACATAGTACATCACGACGTTTTTATATTAATGCAATTGATCATCATCACGCACGTATTTTACAAAATCAATCAAAACAAAAAGAAAATGCTAAACGTTTACTTGGTACGATACCATTAGATAAAGGAAGTTTATTTAATAGTGAACTTGTCCAATCCCAAGTTGATAAACGTCAATCTGTTCTACGTCATCTCTATGAAATGGTGAAATATGTTGCGTATTTACATCGTATTTGTGAATTTATAGCTGTTTCTGCTGAAGGTTATGGTAATAATCCAAGTGAATTTCGTAATAATTTACAACCCCTTGCAATAGCTGCTTTTAATATGAGTCAAATATTAGAAGGTGGACGAGGTTATAAAGCAATTGAACAAATAAA